GGTGGGCAGGCCTAGCTGCCTCAGCTGCGGCTCCATGGAGTGCGGGAACTGCTCCAGGGGCCCAGGATCCAGGCTCACCGAGAAGGATGCTTTGTTACCGGCTCGGGCATAGTCCATCTCCGTGAACTTGGTGAACCACCTCAGAGGAAGCGAGATACCTGACTGGCCCACCAGAAATCAGGCTCCCCCAAGTCCACTGTGGCCCTAGGTGTCTTCCACCCATCCACCTGGCCAGAAACCGCTAGCTTCAGTCACAGGTGCTTGCACCCGGCACCAAGACCCCGATCCTCTCCCGCCTTCTCTTTCCCACAAGCACTTACTCGTTCACTTCCTCCTTAGTTCGATTGGTGAAAAGGAGACCAACTTCACCCTTCAGCTTCCTGCTGACCTACAACCCAAAGCGAAGGCCTTGCTCGCTGGGCCACAGGCTCTCCAACAGAGCAGCAGGGCACAAGGCAGCCTGGCTTTGGCCCCTCACGGAGGGACCGAGACTCACCTGGTGCAGGTTGTCTTTGTACTCATCAGAGGGGCTTCGACCCAAGGCCACCATCATCACCTTGTTTTTTCCAAAGAACATCCTGTGAGAAAATGGGAGTGCCGGGGGTGGGGGGTGGGCGCTTGTGAAGGAAGTGCCTCGTCAGCCCACCCGTCAGCTGAGGGCCAAATGCCAACCAGCTGCAGCCTAACAGGCGCTGCTCTGCAGAGGAGGTCCAGGCTTCTCCCCAGACACTGCCCATATCTTGTCTCCCAGCATGCCGTCTTTACCACCTCCTGCCTGGGTAGACACAGAGGCTCCCAGGCCATCCACACCGAGAGACTACAATGAAGGCACAGGGCCACTGCTTACCTATTCCCTGGGCACTGAACAAGCCTGGCCCTTGAGGGATCAGTGCCCCATCAGCTTCAGTGCCCCACCAGCTTTAATCCCAATGATGTGCCCTTCAGTAGGGGTGTGGCCTTGTGTCCTCAGGGAGGTGTCTGAGGGTCACCACTACCCCGCCCCTATCCTCTTGCCACACACACAGGCGCCTCTGTGAGGCCTGCTCACCGGCTGTGCTTCCAGGCGTTCCGGATGTCCTTCAGCTTGCTGTTCCTCATGTTGGCCACGGAGAAGATGAAGAGGTACTTGTATGTGTCCACACATTTCCGAAGCTGTGGGACAATTCATGGGGCTCTGGGGTCCAAGGGGCAGCATGATTGGGCAGTACTCTGGCCTCCAGGGGTGGGGAGAATCTGCCCAAGCCCCTCAGAAGCAGGGGAGTTTAGAGCTGGGGGCCTCTTAATTTGCTGCTCTCTTCCTCTGGCCCACTAATGCAACGAGGACCACCAATTGTGGGGGTGCTGCCACCCGAGCACAACAGATGGAACAAGCACAGAGGAACCCTGGCGCAAGGCCACGGTGGTCTTCCCCAGGCTCTGACTTATCTGTGGCCACCCAGTGCCGTCAACCACTTCTCGGCCTTTTTACAAACCTGGAAACACACCCACGCTAGGGAGGCTTTTGCTAGACAGAAATGCTAACAAAAATCAAACCACTGTCATTAAGTTGATTCTAATTCAGAGGAACCTTAGAGGGCAAAGTACAACTACCCATCTTCTTAGGAGCAGCTGGTAGGTTTGAACTGCTGACCTTGTGGCTGGCAGCCCAATGTACCACTCACTCCATGTTACTATTTACTTAGGAGACACTGTTGTGTATGCTGCAGCTAGCAGGTCTCGAGGAAGCAGAATCTTTGTCTCGAACTCCTGTTTCCGCCTAGCCTGCAGGCTGGGCCTGGCAGCCCAGAAGCAGCATGGGCAGTGGGCTGGAGAGGAGTGCAGCTTGCAGCTACCCACACCTGGTAACTGCCTAACTTTTGACAGGCTCACCCCTGGCAGTGGCAGTTACCCCAACTGCAAACTGGGGACAACATCTCCTAGTATCTAAGGGTATCTTGAGGACCAAGAAACAGATGTACAAAACCGCTGGCTCACCTAAACCATGATAAAAACAAAATCCTTGCTGGACACAGCGCAGAGCACATAAAATGGGTTGGTACGTAGTTTCTAACAGTACGGTCCCCTAGCCCACAACCCCACACGATCCTTATAAACCAAATGTAAACTCTGGAAAAATAAAACGGGCAATAGGTTCTTACCTCTTCTATTAGGTTCTGTTTCAGTTCCAAGCCTTTCTTGGCAGTTTTGGTTAAGGAGACTAAAAGAAGGAGAGAGTAAAAGGATTAGGGGAGGAGGTGGGGATGAGAGGAGTCTGGATGGCCCTGGAGACACATTTTCTTTTCCCTTTTGTAACTTAGCTCAGAGCTGGCTTCGCTGGACCGAGCATCTAAGGCGAGGCAGGCAAGCCTTCACTGCCTCATTTCTGGCATGCAAGACTGTCAACAGGGCCCGCGGAGTGCCTTGGTACATTTCCTTAGACAAATTAGGTGCTACTCAGGCCTTCTCAGGAGCCCTGGTGGTGCAGCGGTTACGTGCTGGGCTGCAATCCTCATAGTGGAAACCACCAGCAGCTTCAGGGTGGGAGGAAGACTGGGCTTTGTACTTCTGTTAACAGTCTCAGAAATCCCACAGGGGGTGGCGCGATGGCGGTTAGCGACGAGCCCTTCTTAGGCTCACCTACAGATCTGTAAGGGGGCATGGGGTGGGGCTGTCTCAGTCCTTGCTCTTCAGGCACGAAACCAGCTGGCAGAGCTCTGCAGTCTTACCGCTCTCGGCCCAGTACCCGCGGACCACCTGTACTTGGCCTTCACTGGGGAACAATGAGGGTCTGAGGATTGCTTGCATGGGTTCTGCTACATCTCTACTTTAGTCTGGCGACTTGGATCCACAGATGCAGCTAGGCCTCCTTGGGATTTGTAAACAGCTGAAGCTCAATTTGTCCAATCACCCTCGAACAGTGTGGTGTTCACTTGCCCAATGCCCCTCCACAGATTCAAATTTATCCCACAAGTGCCTACCCCAGTACCACTGCAAACCCCTGGGTGCCCTCAGGAATGGTCAGCCTCATACTAAGCTACAATCTGCCTGACACCTTTCACAGGGCACACAGCAATCACACCAGTCAGCGGCCACTTCAGTGAGAGGGCGCACAACACGCAGCGTCTCATCTCTGTGACAACTTGGGTCCAAGCCAGAGCCACCCTCCCTGATCTCCTGCTTCCTGCCATCCTTGCTCTGTGCCCCATCTCGCTACCCGAGCCTGTCTTCAACCAGTCAGAAAGAGCCTATAAAACAACAGTTCTCAACCTGAGTCGCCACCCCTTTGGCGGGTGTGTGTGTGTCAAACGACCCTTTCACAGGGGTCGCCCGATTCATAACAGTAACAAAATTACTGTTATGAAGTAGCAACGAAAATAATTTTATGGGGGGAGGGAGGAGGAAGAAATGGCGAGTTTGCTATCAGGGGCTCAAGTGGGAAGAAAATGCTTTGAAAATGATGGTGGCATATGTACAAATGTGCTTGACACACTGGATGAATGTATGGACTGCGATAAGAGACGTAAGAGCCCCCGATAAAGGTAAGAAAAAAAAAA